GGGAGCGCAAAAACATTAATTCAGTCGAAGAACGAACAACTGTAGCGCCCTCCACCCACACACACACACGCACACTCAGCATGTAGCTCGTTATAAACCAATGCTGGTGGGCCTCATTTATGGGCGGGGTATGGTAGTTAGGGTTTCTCAAAGAATGGATGGGGAAGGGGCTTTGGGTCGTCAACGCTCTTTCACACACATAACATAAAAATTTGTTGTTGTAAATCTGCTCAACACTTTGTGCGTGAGAGTGGCACACTTTAACAGCAACACACTAACACAAAGACACACAGGCACACGCATGCGAACTTAAATATAGCGACGTACACATAATCTGTTGTGTAATGTCTTTAGTTGTGTCAACTATGCTGCATGTTGTGCCACAACAGCAAAGTGTGGCAGAGAGAGGGTCGTACAGGGAAGGGTTGGGGGTGTGCTCGGAGCTGGAGTGGCGCCCCTATACAAAGCATTGTCCAATGTACATTGTCTGCTGAGGCAAAAACAGATTCTGAGTGAGTGCGAAAAATGGCAATATGCAGCGCAGACCGCAGCCGCACACAAGTTGAAGTTTTGAAACAATATTTAGATAAATTTCCCAAGAGAGAACGCCAAAGTGTAGCGACGAAAAAAAAATTAAATAAATTTCAAAGAAGCATAAAACAACAATTGGCGATTGCATCTGAAAATGTTGTTTATATGGAGCGGTAGCTACGGAAACCTTTCCATCAACCTGAACACATTTACCAAATGAAAAACAAGCTTGGATCTAACTAGAATTCATGCATTTTATTTCAATTTAATTCCCTTGTGCACAGTTACATCAATTTAATTAGCTGTGTGCTTCCCTGAGTTATAACTAAAAAAAAAAAATTAACCTCTTAAAACTCCACTTTTGCACATAAAAATATATTGGATTTTAATCATCTTTAATTGAATTTAATCGCCAAACTCTTCAATTTTAGAAATTTGTTGTTAATTTATTGGATAACTATAACTATTTTGACAGACGCATTTGTACTCAAAGCCAAGCACCTCGAAACCACCCACAAGCGTGAAAAATCTTCGTGTCAGTTCAAGAATATATATACTTTATGGGGTCGGAGAAGCTTCCTTCTGCCTGTTACATACATTTGGATTTTGCACAAATACAATATACCCTTATACCCATTTTTAATGGGTTCAGGGTATAAAAATGTTAATATAATATAAAAGTATTGGCTAGAACAAAATATGATGTATAGACGAGCCATAACCTAGGCTTTCGACGTGAAAAAAATAATTATTTCAATAGTTTTTTACATATCTTCAAAATGTAGAAGACAAGTAGAAGTAGCATTAGACAATTTATAAAAGAATTTTTTTAACAGGGTATAAGCACTAAGTGCGACCAGGTTGTCCGTATAGCCAGTTGAAGAACCCGCCCCTATCATCAGCTAAGTTAGCCAGCGGCTTTTGACTTGCAAGGGCTTATCCAGAGTCCGAATCTATAACCGCTTGTGAATTGTAAGCTACAAAAAGTAAATCTTAAAAGGGTGAAGGACTTGAACACCATGCTTTTCTGCCAGATTTACATATCATAAAAGAATTACATTTTAGTTATAGATTCTATACTATAGAACATACCTTCCTTATTTAAAATCCCTTAGAAATGTCCCTATAAAATGTCCATACAGTCTTTTCCAGTGCTTAATTTGGAATAGACAAACAGAAGTTAATTTAAATGTGTTTAAATTGAAGTAAAGTGCCCTAGCGTGACCTTTTCCAGCTCATGTGTTGTATGTTTTTAATGCACATGCCATATTGCCCCTCCCGCCACACTGTTTGCCCCTTTTCCACTTATCAACCATTGAGCTGAAGCTCGTAATGGGTGGAAATGTTTGACTTCGTTCACTTGGAATAAGTGAGAGCTGCTCAATTTGGCCGCTCAACTATGTACTTGGTGGTTTTGTCATTAAGCTATTATGTTGTTGGGGGTCATGCGGTTGCCATTGGCATGGTATTCCGTTGCTTGTTTTGATGGCATTGCGTTTTTCCAGGAAAAGCCAACGATACGTGCTAGACGGGACGGGAGCAATGGAATAGAAAACACTATACAACCAAATTGAGCAACATTTGTGGCATAGCAGCTACGAAAACTTTTGCCAAAAATTTCATTCAGCTAAAAGTCAAGACATTAATATTCAAGCCATAAAACCGGGGACCGGCACCCTCTCGTCCTACACACACACACACACACACTCACTCACACACATATTTTTGGAATTCGAAAACTGTGTTTCAGTCGAAACAGCGCTCCGACAGCGCTCCGACAGCTCAATGTGGCCGACTGGCAAATAATATTTAATTAGAGAATTGTTTAGACAAACTTTTTAATTACGTTCATCATTCTATTTGTGTGTGAGTATGTGTGAGTGTTTGAAAATGTGTGCGTGTGTGCATGCAAGTTATTAAGCGACCCGCATAAATCTTCAGATGTAGCTGGCGCTTCAAATTTTCGTGAAAAATGCACGCTCGACTGTGCCTCTCGTGCAACGCCCACTTGTCTGTGCCGCCCACCAAACAGGATGCATGATCCCAGCAACGTCACGCCACGCCCCGCCGCCATCCTCCTCCATCTCACAGTACTGCTTGACAGCCGGGACGAGCTGTGACCGTCAGCTGCATAAATTTTAAGCGACAGCAACATTAAAGTCAACATTTTGCCAGTGGCCTACATTCAAGCGGGTGATGGGGGAAACGGGCGAAGTGGGGAACAAAGTTCTGGCACGGGAACTGGTGCGGGAGCAGGCGCTGCCGTTGCCGCTGCTGCTGATGGGAGTGTCCTTTCAGCATAACTGCCTCCGCCTTTCGCTTTCTCTGACATTCTGATGCCCTACATACATACACACACACACACACACACACGCACAACTACTTATGTCATGTGTGTGTGTGCCTTTATGTAGATGAGTTGACAGTAACGTGTAGAAAATTATGAAGATGAATTTTTATTTGTCAGTTTTTCTGCCAAAACTAAGAAAAAACAATTTAAGGTGCACTAGTCTTCAATGAACGGCTACGCTATAACCTAAACGCCAAGCTAATTTAGCTTTACAAAATAAACATGCTTAAAAGACGGTTAATTAAACGCAAGAATATATATCTCTGTGGGGTAGCGGCTGCTTACTCCTGTCTGTTACACAGCTTTGCTCAGAACAAATATTCCGCATTCAACGGGCTGTAAAAAACCTCTGAGAAGCTCGAAGAGCTTCGGCGACAAATAGACGAAGGGACAGAGACAGCGTGAGCCACTTGCTGGACACCAGCTGCTGCTGACAGACAGCAAAATGAACAGAAATTCTGTGAAAAATTACCTTTTGAATACATACAGCTAAAATGATGAATAGCCGTTGTGAAAAGCGACTAAATGAAAAGAGGAAAAATTTAAGAACTATTTCTAAAGGCAAAAATTAACATTTAATTAAGCGTGCAGATAGCAAACAAATGGTAATAAAAATGGGCAATAAACTAATTACTTTAAACTGAGATTCTCATAATAAAAACAAGTAAGAGGTTCTAATCGGGAGCTCCCGACTAGGGGATACCCTGAACCCTCTTATTCCAACACCAAATAAATTTTAAAAAACCCTTGGCAGGGTTCGAACTCACAACTGACCGCATTACTTGCTGTCGACTCTACTCAACAGCTACACCAGCAAAAAGGTACTTTCACCCCCACACCGACAACTTAGAACTTATCATAAAAAAGGATCTGAAAAATTACCATGCTGTTAGAATGCGAAGCAGACGCGCGTGTGTGTTTAGATGTATACAGAAATTATTAAAGCTGTTGCCCCATTCAATTGCACAGTTGTATATAACTTTGGTTTTTTCTTAACCGATCTTTATAAAATTTTCTACAGTATATCTGTACCATAGAATATTTGTGTATTTCGAAAAGGTCAATTGCATTTAAATTGTGGCTTAAATTGGTTGGCAATAAAAGTTCGGTTATTAACTTGATTTATAGCTCTGTGGTGGTAGCGGGGAGGTAGCGATAGGTATAAAATGAAAGATACTTGACATATATATAATATTCTAGAAGCAATATATCATGTTTGGTGGCTCTAGCTCTTATTATTTACCAAAATTGCCCAAAAAACAGGATATCGATATCGATTTTTATCAATTGCTTCAAAACGGAGTAAGTTATCGATTATAGGAAACACACTCGATCTGTGCAGGCACTAGGAGCACCTTCATCTAAAATTTCAAGTCTCTAGCTCTTATAGGTTCTGAGATCCTTGCATTCATACATACTGACGGACGGACGGACGGACGGACGGACAGACAGACGAACATGGCTAGATCGACTCAGCTATTGATGCTGATCAAGAATATATATACTTAATGGGGTCGGAGATGCTTCCTTCTGCCTGTTACTTACATTTGGATTTTGCACAAATACAATATACCCATTTTTAATGGGTCCAGGGTATAACAATATTTGACTTGTAATATTTACAATTCAATAAGAACTGTCTGCTTTTCGCAAATCATGTTTTTATAATAAAAATTTGCAACAAATGACCCACTATCATCAGCTGTGAGTCTTGCTGTAAACTGTTTTCGTAGTTAATTAGATAAGCGGCAAATACAAATACAATGATGGATTTTAGAGATATATGTGAGATATAGGCGTTGCGGCATTGAATACGAATTGCAGCGGACAGTGGCATGTGGCAAGGCCAATTGGGGGCACTAAGTCCGCAAATGGCGTAAGTTGAGATAATTAATTGAGCGCAAAACTAAACACGAAAGCAGCAAAAGCAATTATCTACAATAACACAGGGACACACATGCAAGGAAGCTGGCCACGCCCAACACACACACAACACACACACAAATGTATAGGGCTAAGTAGAGTAAATCACTTGGCATTTAGCAGTAGCAAATAAATCGATTCTCGACCACTATTAACGGTACATTAAAAACCCTGATTGCCTTTTATTTCATTCCAGATAAATGCGCCCGAAATAAACACAAATCCAAAGGATACGAAATTGGCCCCAACTTGACAGATGTTGTTTTTCAGCTGGAAAAACAATTCGTCCGCGTGCAGCCTTCGGAGTGTGAAGAACTAAAGAAAGACTTACTTACAGGGCAGCCAGTGGAGAGCTCATAAAACTAAAAGAGACAAAATAGAAGACAAACTAAAACAATAACAGGCACAAACAAATAAACAATCGTATGCAAAAATTATGAACAGTCGTCGAAGTGCGGAAGTGTGAAAAGTTTGCGCAATAAAATTGGCAATAAAATCGAAAAAAAAATCAGAGCAAAAGCGACCGTCCCATAAAAGACCGCCAACTCTTGCGATTTACGTTTATATCTACATATATATATTCATAGCAAATAATTTTTATTTGTCAAATTGTTTGCGCGAAAAATTTCGTCAACGTGCGCAGAAATCAAGAGTGAAACAAACCGAGTGGCAAAATCCTTAACATTTCTTATACGCCACGTGTTCGCAGTCAGCAAAACCAACAGAAGTAGAGATTTATTTCGGCTAGCTGTTAAATGCGTTTACATATCTCTGACGCGGCAATTGCCGCCTTCTTTAGTGCAGCGAAATATAAGTAAATGTGAAAGTGCCGAGATTCGCATTATTTCTGCGTAGGTGAACACAATTATCAGAGCTCTCAAAAAGAGGGGCGGGAGCGCAGCATGCGCTTGTGGAAAAATCGATCCAAAATGCGAATAGCCGCAGTTGGCCGGGTGCCCATCAGCACCACCATTACCAGGAACACCACCAGGAGCACTAACAGAGCAACACATAGGTCCAAGCAGCTGGCACAGCTACTTATTGGCGGCATTTTCTACATGACAATTGGTAAGTTCTTGAAGAAAAAACAATCTTAATTTGAAATATTAAAGATAATTGTGCTCTGGCCTGCAATTAACATTTCAATTTGCTTTTACCCAATTAGTTGATTAACTCTTTTTGTTAATTATGAAAGTGGCTAGAAATGCTTTTGGGTTAATTAATCAAATTAAAAGCTTTTATTGACCTCAGATAGCCCGAAAACTTTGCAAATTCTGCTTGAACGCAACTTATATATATTTATTAAGGGTATGCCGCAAACGATTTTGCGAGTGATGAAAAGCAAAATAAGTAATTAACTGATTTACTGAAGATTTGTCCGAGCAAGTGGTTACCTGCTAATCAAACCCGGCTTTGTACGTGAAAAGTTTAAAATTAAACCCTATTTTCCATTCAGAGAAGTAAAGCGTAGTGAAAAGTCTTCAATTATATTCTCTAATATTCTTAGTCATCAAAAATAAATATATCAGTTTAGGTTACAATTGTATATGTTTATAAATTTTGCTACACAAATACGTCCTAATTTGTTAAAAGCGGAAGATACTTTCAGTACAATTACAGCTTCATTAGCAGATAAATGTGTATACAAGTGTGCGTATGTATGTGTAAATATCATTAAAAATGAATGAGTGCCTGTCGGCCTGATGTTGTAATATCGACTTCAGTCCTAAGGGGTTGCGGCTATTGTTGTTGCTGTCGAAAAATTGTGAATGATGCAATTTACAAATTTACGATTGCTAGCAGCGCAATTTAACAGCTGAACCCAAAAGAAGGTTAAAAATATGAAATTAATAGCAAAAAAAAGAAATAAAAATAAATATGAATTACAGCAAGTAGCAATTGAAATACTCTATCCATTAAATTCAAAATTAAATGAAAAAAATAAAATTTTTGAAGCGCTTTCCCTTAAAATCTTTAACAGCAAGATAAATTTACTTTGATGAAAATATACACGTTGCTTGCAATTCAATTTTCACCTACTAGCTGTTACAAACAAGCTTACAAATTAGTTTAACCCTTTTGTAGTGGCAACTGTGTGGCCGCAGCTGGCTGTATAAATTGGTTTTTTGTTCAGCCCCGTGGGCTGCCAGCTGTTTTTTTTTCTGATTTTCTCGCTTGCATTTGCCACGTGCTCTTATGCAAATAATCGCATTCACTCGTACGTGCACTTCATGTCAAAACAGTTAACTCACTTAGTCAAGAGGCTGCCAATTTTCACTCGCTGGCAGCCGTTGGTTTAATCACGGCTCCATTCAGCCTACAATTGCTTTTACTATGGCAAATAATTGATTTTATTTAAAGCATAAACGATTTTAATGAAGCCCGACAGCTTTTCGCTGGAAAAGTGCTCGGAGTGGAAATTAGAATGAAAATTAAAGGAAATTTTGTCGATTTTCTGATTTTACTTCATTGCTTCTACAAGAAGCTATTAGCGTATTTTTGCTGCCTCCACAGATTTAAGGGGACGGTTCCTCTAACCACTCCTTAGTGCCCCAGATCAACAAGAAAAGTGAAAAAGCAAAACATGAAAATATAATTCATGAGCTTGGGCAAAATGTTGAATTGTAAATGATCAGACGCTGGCAGAGGGTAAACAAAGAGCCAGCCATCGGCAAGGCAAAACTTTAAGCCAACGCAAATGAGCAGACAAATATGCCAAAGAGAGAGAGAGAGAGGACCGAGAGCAGGAGAGGAGCTCAAAGTTGGCCAACTGAAGGGCGGCCATAAAAAATGCTGTTGGATTTTAATGCCATAACTGGGCTTGTTGTCCGTGTGAGGGTAAAAAAACTTTACAGTTGACCCAGCCCCCAACTAGTAGCTCGACTTATATCGTGCTTATAAAATATATTTATTGATTTTTTTCGCTGTGCATGGCTTCAAATTCTTTGCTTTTTACAGCAAATTTACTGGACGCACAGTTATGCCCCTTGCCCCGGTGCCCCGCTGCCCTGCAGCGACATTGACTTTTACCTCTGCCTCGACAGAGGCTGGGTGTAAGATTGATTTATTTGCCATTCCGTTTGGTTTTATTTTTAAACATTATTCATAACTTTTTCCGTGCGGCTGCGGCTTTGTTGTAATTTATTTCTGAGCAGCGTCAAAATAAATTGAACGAAATTTGTTAGCATTTAAAAATGATTTGCATGCCAGGCGAGCAACTTCTTGGCCCACGATTGTCAATCGTGTCTCAGCCAAATAAGATCTAAGACTTTGGGCACACTTAAGTGAACTAAAAGCGCACGTAATGCGCGTGGCTAGCCCTTAGGTTGTGTTACGTATACGCCATGTAGTGTGTATATAACTTATGGCAATAAAAACAAAATTAAGAACGCGTCGCTTTGGTTTTTTGCCAGCTTAACAATTGTTTTTATGTGACTTGCTCTTTTTTATTTATTTTTTTTTTCTGTTGGCTGCCTTTTACTTATGAAATTTATTTATTTGTATTTATTTTATTTTTGTTGTGGGAAAACTTTTCACTTTCCTTTTTAGTTGGGGACATTATTTTTCTGCTTTTATTTCCGTCCGTTTTTGGGTTTATGTCAGTTTTCAGCTGTCGCAGTGGCTGTCTCTTTTTCCCCGCCCTGCCGACCCTACTGTTCCATTTTCCAATGCCACTCGCGCATTTTTCCGCCGAAATAAATGAAAAAAAAAATATTCGTTTCCAGTTCCGTCTGCCATTTTCACGAATTTTCCTTGTGCAGCATAGAAAGAACTCTGCGCCGTTGCGTTTTCCTACTTTGGCTCGGCGCATTTAATCCATTGCGTTCGCGTATTTTCCCACAGCTCTCCAAAAACACTGCGGCAGAAGAAAAAGCAAAACTCAAAACGATGAAATGGAAAATTATAACTGGCACCCGCCGCACTCGCAGCTCGCTCTTGCAGCTGCTTTGTCAGTGTAAATGTGTTTTTGCCATCAATTTTTATTGCAAGCAGAGTGTATCAATAAATTTTACAGCAATGTGCGGATTTAAAAGCAAAACTGCATTGGCTTTTTCCCCTTCACACCCCGTCCACAAACATACACACGCACACACCCTGTCAGCACCTTATGGGCCATTGAATTGGTTTATGACATTCGGAGTTGGGCATAAAATGCTCTTTCGCAATGTGGCTCAATTTGCCTTCGATGATGTCGTCTTTAGGCCATGATTTCCAACTGTTGATTACCATTTGCTTGGCTGAGAGCCTTAGCAAATGCAGCAATTAGCCGTAATTGGCTTATAAAATGCTCCACAATTGTCAGTGAAAAGTACAATTTCCAGCGAAGAGCTTTAGCAGTGGAATACCCTTTTTATTTAGCTAAATTCTGATATCAATAAAATTTCCATATTCATATAAATGCGATTGAATTAATTTGTATACAAAAAGTATGCTTAAAAGCAAAAGCTGACAAAATTTTATGCTAGTGCTGTAATGTGCCATTAAATGCCTTAGCCTATCTGCGGAATTTATAGCATATAAGCTAAACAAAGCGCTTATAAGCAAAATCAATATGCTTTATATCAAAATTAATGGAGTTGCAATCACAAGCAACACACACAGACACACCCACAAACCCACACACTCACATACACAGCAGCATGGAAAAAGTGTTGACAGCTGCTTTTATTCACCTGTCAGACACAGAAGCCGCTAAACTGTTGATAAGAAGACAGAAGACAGATCCGGCAGCCGTGTGCTCCAGCACCGGCAGCTATGGATCCGGGTATCACCCCGTTATAACCATGGGCGGGCAAAGGGACAAGCTAGTCCCGTGTCCAGGCCATCAGCAGGTAGCTGTGACTGAAGCCAGAGACAAGCGTTGTGACAGCACAGCCAATAAAAATCCTTCACAATCATTTATCAATAAGTATCAGAAAAGGACGACGCCGATAGAAGGCGTTCAACCCATCAACCGTCCTTAGGGAAGGGCTTTCTGAAGTTGGACCGGGGCAAACATTACATGAGAGCATTTAAAAAGTATGGAAATATCAAATAATCATGTATAAGTGGTGCACAAAATATGTCAGCTTCTAGGGGAGGAAACGAAAAAAATAAGAAAAACGTTATCAAGCCTGAGCAGTCCGAACATTGCTGGACTGTGGACTATGTCGGACTCTGTGTAAATGTCACAAAGTTCGAGCTATTATAAATGACATCGGATGTCGCTTGACACTGAAATATATATTTTGAAGTACCCGATAAAAACAATTGACAGTGGAATGATGAGAGTATATAACTATGCTAAGCTAGGCCAGCTTATGAGTCAGACATGAAACTGAAAATGAAATTTTTGCCGCAACAAAATGATATAACTGATATATGTGCTACACATAATACAAATGATATTAATGATAAACATGATATATATGATGTATATGTTATTAATGATATAAATATGACAAAAGTTCTAATAAGTATTTTTATAAAGGTTTCTTCTTTTAATGTTGGATTTGGCGGCCTTTCCATATTATAAATGTTTGTTTGCCTGACTCGAGGTCCAGGGTTTTTATACTCTTGCAGAGGGTATTACAATTTTGTCGTGAAATGTGTAACGCATAGAAGGAGACATCTCCGACCCCATAAAGTATATATATTCTTGATCAGCATCAACAGCCGAGATGATAGAGCCATGTCCATCTGTCCGTCTGTCCGTCTGTCTGTTTCTATGCGAACTAGTCTCTCAGTTTTAAAGCTATCTTAATGAAATTTTGCAGTAATCCGTCTTTCGGTTGCACGCAGCACATATGCCAAAACCAGCTGGATCGGACCACTATATCATATAGCTGCCATAGGAGCGATCGGTCGAAAATTAAGTTTTTGTATGAAAAAACATTTTGTTTTTCAAGATGTCTTGACCAAACTCGGCATTTATTAGTTTTACGTTACTCCTCATATATATGCAAAATCCTATTAAGATCGGACCACTATATTATATAGCTGCTATAGGAACGATCGGTCGAAAATTAAGTTGTTGTATGAAAAAACATTTTGTTTATCAAGATGTCTTGCCCAAACTCTATAAGCAT